GCCTGTAATTCCGGCTACTCGGAAGGCTGAGGCGGAAGGATCGCCGGAGCCCAGCAGGTCGAGGCTGCGGTGGCCAGGAGCGGCCACTGCACTCCAGTCTGGGCGACTGAGTGAGACTCCAACTCAAAAAAAAAAAAAAAAAAACAACTCAACAACTAGCTAGGCACGATGGCCCATGCCTGTAAGCCCAGCACTTCGGGAGGCAGAGGCCAGAGGACTGCCTGAGCCCAAGGATTCGAGACCAACCTGGGCAACTTGGCAAGACTTTGTCTCTGGAATAAATGAGAAGTTAGCCGAGTGTCATGGTGCACGCCTGTAGTCCAAGCTATTTAGAAGGCTGAAGCAAAAGGATCGCCGGAGCCCAGCAGGTCAAGGCTGTGGTGGCTGTGAGCATGCCACTGCACTCTGTTCTGGACAATGGAGTGAGACTCCAACTCGATGGAAAAAAAAACACAACAACTACCTCCAATTAAGTGACACCACAGCTAAAAAAGACTTCGTAAGTACACTATTCTACACTGCCTTTCCAGATCTTTCTATTTTTATATAAGAATACAAACCGCCGGGCTTGATGGCTCAGCCTATAATCCCGCGCCTTTGGGAGGCTGAGGTGAGTGGATTGCCTGAGCCCGCGGGTTCGAGACCCGCCTGGGCAGCGAGACCTCATCTCTACAATAAATCAAAAAATCTGCTGGGCGTGGTGGCGCATGCCTGTAACTCGGGCTCCTTGGAAGGCTGAGGCGGAAGGATCGCTGGAGCCCAGCGGGTCGAGGCTGCGGTGGTTGGGAGCGGCCACTGCACTCCAGTCTGGGTGACAGAGTGAGACTCCAACTCAAAAAAAAAAAAAAAAAAAAAAAGAATATAAACCAAGAATCTTGTGATCATAAGACAGTCTCTGTCATCTTCTATAATCTCTCATCATACCTAGCCCTATACTTATTTTGCACCCTTTGCACCCTTTTATGTAATATTAAGTAGGTCAAACACTTATTTCAAATGATACTAAAATATTCCAATATTAATTTCTAAAAATTCCTTAACTCAGAAGTTGTAACTGGTGACCTATCTTCCAAATGCTACATTAAACAACAACAATGGCCGGGCACGGTGGCTCACGCCTATAATCCTAGCACTTCGGGAGGCCGAGGTGAGAGGATTGCCTGAGCCCACAGGTTCGAGACCAGCCTGGGCAACAAGGTGAGACCTCGTTTCTACAATAAAGCAAAATGAGCCAGGCATGGTAGTGCGTGTCTGTAGTTCCAGCTACTTGTAAGGCTGAGGGGAAGGAATGTCTGAGCCCAGCAGGTCAAGGCTGCGGTGGCCATGAGCGTGCCACTGCACTCCAGCCTGGGCAACAGAGTGAGACTCCAACTAAAAAACAACAACAACAACAACAACAACAAAACCTCTGAGCTAAAGTTTAAAAATTAGGAAAATCAGATTTTTGCAAGTTCTCCTGTAATATCAGAAGATCAAAGAACACTGAAGGGTACCTGTATAATGAACATTTGTATACCTAACCCTGAATTGCAGCCATCTCTAAAATAAAATATTAAGGCCTGGTATGGTGACTCACACCTATAATCTCAGCACTTTGGGAGGCCGAGGTGAGAAAATTGGCTGAGGCCATGGGTTCCAGAACAGCCCAGACAACTTGGCAAGACCTCATCTCTACAATAAATCAGAATTAGCTGGGCGTGGTGACACGTGCCTGTAGTTTTAGATACTTGGAAGGCTGAGGTGAAAGGATCACCAGAGCCCAGCAGGTCGAGGCTGCAGTGGCTGTGAGCATGCCACTGCACTCCAGCCTGGGCCGTGAGTGTGCCACTGCACTCCAGCCTGGACGACAGAGTGAGACTCCCACTCAAAAAATAAAATAAAATAAAATAAATTAAAAAAAAAAAAATAGGACACTGAACACACCCAGCTAGAAAAGGAAAGTAACAGCACCATGCATTCAGCATGTATTCTGGGTCTCCAACTTACAGTGTTATTCTGCCTCTACAATGCAGGCACATTTGCACTTCTACAGAGCCACTTTATATATTTACTTTTCCTTCCTGACATCTGTAGACACTGGACATATGGTAGGTTCATATTCTCACTTTGTTTTTATAAAATAATTGGGTATTTTTGAATCAGAATCTCACTCCATCACCCAGGCTGGAATGCAGTGGCATGATCACAGCTCACACTGCCTCAGTCTCCTGGGCTCAGGCAATCCATCCACCTCAGCCTCCTGAATAGCTGGGGCTACAGCCGTACACCACCACGCCCATGTGTTTTTTTTATGTTTTGTAGAGACAAGGACTCACTACGTTGCCTAGTCTGGTCTTGCTTCTTAACTAAAATCTAGCCACCTTCAGTTATATAATGTGAGGGGCAGGCAAATTTATCATCACAAGTACCTATCAGAAGAATGGGATCAAAGATATAACAACAGGAAAATCTGAGAGTTGGTATCAAGGAACAAGTATAGAAACATAATGCGACTTCTACAACACAAATGAGGAAAAAACTTGCTATTAATAAAATCTGGCCAAATTATGATCCAGTGATGATCAGAATAAGCCAGGACCCAACTATTCTAATTTCATTTCCTTTTTCCTATTTTTATAAGACTGGAAATTCCAAAAATTAAGTGATCAATTTTGCAAGCAAGCAAAGCATGTTTTATAAGTCTCTCTCTCTTTTTTTCTTTTCTTTTTGAGTTGAGTTTGAGTCCTGACCACCGCAGCCTCAACCTGCTGAGCACTGGCAATCCTCCACCTCAGCATCCCAAGTAGCTGGAACTACAGGCGTGTGCTACTATGCCTGACTAATTTTTTGATTGATTGTAGACACAAGGTTTCACCATGTTGCCCAGGCTGGTCTCAAACCCATGGACTCAGGCAATCCTTTCGCCTTGGCCTTCCAAAGTGCTGGGAGTATAGGCTTGAGCCACCATGCCCGGACTATAAATCTCTTGATCCACTTGTTTGGTCAAAAAATCTTCAACCAAAGACTGATGCTAAGCTTTCTTACATTCTAACTGGTTTTCTTTTTTTTTTTTTGAGTTGGAGTCTCACTCTGTCATTCAGGCTGGAGTGCAATGGCACACTTATGGTTACCGCAGCCTCGACCTACTAGGCTCAGGCAATCCTTCTACCTCAGCTTTCCAAGTAGCTGAAACTACAGGCGCACACCACCATGCCCAGCTGATTTTTTTATTTATTGTAGAGACGAGGTCTTGCCAAGTTGCCCAGGCTGGTCTCGAACCTGTGGGCTCAGGCAATTCTCTTACCTCGGCCTCCCAAAGTGCCGGGATTATAGGCATGAGCCACTGTGCCCGGCCTTAGTTTTCAATAATTAGTAAAATGTTTACAGTAACCCAAATGGGGGTGGAGAGGGAAGGAAATGGGAAAAGAGAGTTGAATTGGCACCACCACACTCTATCAAAGAAGGCCTGTCACTGCTCCTAAAATCAGATTTACTGGAACAAAATGTAGATGACTTAACAATTTTTCTTTTTCTTTTTTTTGAGTTGGAGTTTCACTCTGTCACCCAGGCTGGAGGGCAGTGGCATGCTCCCGGCCACCGCAGCCTCGACCCACTGGGCACCAGTGATTCTTCCGCCTCAGCCTTCCAAGTAGCAGGAATTACAGGCACGCGCTACCACGCCCGGCTCAGTTTTGATTTATTGAAGAGACAAGGTTTCACCAAGTTGCCCAGGTGAGTCTTGAACCCACAGGCTCAGGCAATCTTCTTGCCTTGGCCTCCCAAAGTGCTGGGATGACAGGCTGAGCCACCAAGTCCAGCCTTTACTTTTCAAAAAAAGCTTTTTTAATTAATTAGCTGATTTTCCATCTTCAGACAGGGAGGCTTCAATCTCACCATAATCTAGCACTCTGTGCTATCCAAGAAAGGAGAGCAGAAGTGCTTCATTTGAGAGGAAAAAAAGGCACATTACAGAAATTTTTAAAAGTATACATTAGGCAAGATTTTTTTTTTTAAATTTCAACTACATGACAAATTCTGAAATTATTACCTCAGTAGATATATCTTAATTAAATGAATTTTTTTAAAAAATAAATTTAGCCAAGCACTGTGGCTCATGCCTATAATCCCAGCACTTTGGGAGGCAGAGGTGAGAGGATTGCCTGAGCCCAGCGGTTCGAGATTAGCCTGGGCAACTTGGCGAGACCTCATCTCTACAACAAATCAAAAATTAGCCAGGAGTAGTGGCACACACCTGTAGCTCTAGCTAATTGGAAGGCTGAAGCAGAAGGATCACTTAAGCCCAACAGATCGAGGCTGCAGTGGCCATGAGCATGCCACTGCACTCTAGCCTGAGTGACAGAATGAGACTCTGATTCAAAAACAAATAATACATGCATAAATAAAATACATAAATAAAATAAATGTATATGATTACCTGGACACTGTTTTCTTGTGTTTGATGAGGCTGTCTTACATGCGGTAATGAAGGCTGAGTTCCTAATTTTCTATCCAAAAATACTTCTTTGCTGCAAGCATAACACCATACCCGAAGAGTGGTGAGGTTCACAGTTAGATAATGCTTTGTCTCCTGTACAATTTCACAGGAAAGAGGGAAACAAAATGAGATATACTCAAAAATGCTCCTTGAAAAGATCGCCGAAGATAAACCGCTGGCGCTGGAGGAACAACAATCGACTCTGAAGCCAATCTGGAGCGCCAAGCAAACGCACTCACTCAACAGACTGCCACAGCCCAGCAGACAGCACAGAAGCTTAGCCTGCTCCAGGAGTGATTCGATTGTTTATCTGTCCACCACTACTCATTATACAACAATAAACACACGCATATAAGACTCTTCTTTGCAGTTCACAAGTAAGATTAACACAAGAAAATAACGGACAAGTAACTCTTTCAGGAAATTAGAGTGGTAAAAGAACACAGATGACATGGCCAAGGCATAAAACAGCTAAAGCAACAGGGAATACATGATCTTGGATAAATAAAAGTCCAGCCTTTCTCGGCCAGAGTTCTGCAAGAGAATTAAGTCCTATAGAAAATGGTTTGTTCGAGACCCGCCTGGGCAACTTGGCGAGACCTCATCTCTACAATAAATCAAAAATTAGCCAGGCATGGTAGCGCGCACCTGTAGTTCCAGCTACTTGGAAGGCTGAGGCAGAAGGATCGCCGGAGCCCAGCAGGTCAAGGCTGCAGTGGCCAGGAGCGGCCACTGCCCTCCAGCCTGGGCAACAGAGTGAGACTCCAACTCAAAAAAAAAAAAAAAAAGAAAAGAAAATGGTTTGAATGACTCATTTCTTAGTTCTCCCCAGGATGGTACATAGCAAGTACCATTCTAGAGGGACAGAAGAGAAATAAAGCAATGCCTTAGACTTGGGTATTCCCACCCAATTAATTCTCTTGAGGAACCTGGTTAAGAACGACTGATGTTGTAGAGACGTCAATGTGCATCTTAAAACAGTTCAGGTCAGGTAGCTCACACCTGTAATCCCAGCACTTTGGGAGGCAAAGGCGAGAGGATTGCCTGAGCCCAGGGGTTCGAGATCAGCCTGAGCAACTCGGCAAGACCTCCTTTTAACAATAAATCAAAAACTTAGCCGGGCGTGGCGGTGCGCGCCTGTAGTTCCAGCTACTTGGGAGGCTGAGGCGGAAGGATCACCGGAGCCCAGCAGGTCAACACTGGGATGGCCGTGAGCGTGCCACTGCGCTCCAGCCTGGGCGACAGAGTGAGACACTGACTCAAAAAGAAAAAAGAAACCATAGTTCATTCAAGAAACTCACAGTTTAGAATGGGGGTTCTGCCTAACGCCGTCAAAGAGGCACAGCAAAGTCACATGGGGAAGCACCAAGCACCAGAGCGAAGCGGGAGGGGGACTCCAGCTAGAATGGTGTGAGGAAAAGGCACCAGAGGAGGCGAGATGCAAGCAAGTGAGCCGGGTCGTGCCATAAACCTAAGGCGCTATTCCCAGCTTCCACCTCCACACGTTCTGAAATTCCAGCTACCGCCTGCGTGCATCCGGACGTAGACTTTTAAATCAGTGCTTTCTTAATGACAGCTTCATTCTAATAAAGGCCTGCACAGCAATTCCTCTCCCCACCTTTCACAGAAAGTGTAAATGAAGTTTGAACTCATGGAAGAACAAGAGTGCAAACTGTGAATTAGAACTTGAATTAATAATGCTCTACCAGCTTTCCCTTTTCTTCCGGCTCTTTTTAAAAACATCTGGCATTAAAATGTGTTCTGTACGTACCTGAGAATGTATGGTGCTATGATCTACTTGGGATTCGCCACAGCCAACATATGAACATTTATTCTATAAATTATACAGGAAGAAAAACAGAGTAGTTTATAATCTGTGTAAATTTATAATAGTGTTACAGTTATATTTACAATTAAGTTTTCATTATACGTTTGAACTCAATGATTAAGTCACTTTCCACAGTCAGTTAATTTAAACAAAGAGTATCAGGCACAAAAACCCAGAAGATTTATATGCTAAAAGCTATGTCATTTTTAATAAAAGGCAAGCATAAGACATTCAGAGAGAGCCAGATGCGGTGGCTCTCGCCTATGATTCCAGCACTTTGGGAGGCAGAGGTGAGAGGACTGCCTGATCCCAGCAGGTCAAGGCTGCAGTGGCCTTGAGCATGCCACTGCACTCAGTCTGGGCGACAGGGTGAGACCCCAACTCAAGAAAATTTTTTTTAATTAAAAAAAAAGATATTCAGAGTGATTTACTAAAAACTGCAAAAGCAGCCGGGCTCGGTGGCTCAGCCTGTAATCCCACGCCTTTGGGAGGCTGAGGTGAGTGGATTGCCTGAGCCCGCGGGTTCGAGACCCGCCTGGGCAGCAAGACCTCATCTCTACAATAAATCAAAAAAATCAGCCGGGCATGGTAGCGCATGCCTGTAATTCCGGTTACTTGGAAGGCTGAGGCAGAAGGATTGCCAGAGCCCAGCAGGCGAGGCTGCGGTGGCCGGAAGCGGCCACTGCACTCCAGTCTGGGCGACCGAGTGAGACTCCAACTCAAAAAAAAATAAAAATAATAAAATAAATAAATAAAAAATAAAAACTGCAAAAGCAATTTAAGTTAAAAATCTTTCCAAGCTTTAGTTTTTTGTTATCAATAATGACCTTTTGAAGATATGTTTAGATTGGGCGTAGTGGCTCATGGCTAGAATGCCAGCACTTTGGGAAGCCAAAGAGGGAGGACTGCTTGAGCCCAGGAGTTCGAGACCAGTCTGGGCAACACTGTGAGACAATAAGTCAAATAGATCAAAAAATCAAAATAAATCAAAAATTAGCCAGGCGTGGTGGCACACCTATAGTTTCATCTACTTGAAAGTCTGAGGCAGGAGGATCGCCTAAGCCCCGCAAATCAAGGCTGCAGTAGCCATGATCGTGCCGCTGCACTCCAGCCTGGGCGACAGAGTAAGTCTCTGGTCCCCACACCGCACACACATCCCCCCCCACAACAAAAGTATGCTTATTCACAAAAATCTTTTTAAGTGTCAAAATTTTTTCTGGTTATCACTATTCAGATCTAAATTTATTATTATTACAACAAACTTCAGGAAAAAAAACATGTACACACCTCTAGGCATGCCCAAAGATTTGGTCCTCTGACTTTACAATCCTGACAAGTACCCTATAAAAAGAAATTAAAAAGACAACATTTGTTATACTGACACAGCCAAACACATACAATTCACTAATAACATTATATTTTTTTTTTAGTTTTTAATTTCAAAGATGTAGGGTACAATTCACGGTTAGGTATATACAATGTTCACTATGCAGGTACACCCTTCGTGATGAGGTGTGCCCCCTCATCATTTTTTTAATAGGACTTGCAAACATACAGTATTATAATAATTTATGAAAAATGCATTTTAGGAGAAAAGTGAATCCAATTTAAGGAAGAAAACACCTCTATCTTACGTGAGATTTTTGTATCAAATCTTCTTTCGTTATTTCACCAACTGAATCCAAATGTGGACAATGACTCCGAAAAGTTGACATTTTGTTAGAAACGTGCTCCTGTTTCCCAAAGCTTTCAAAATGAGGTAACACCTATTGGAAAAGTGACACAAAAAATTAATCTAAAAATGTATATAATAGCTACAAAGATGAAGGGAAAAATAATAAAAATCTAAAATGTTAACATATTAAAAATTATTAAATAAAAGATAAGGTAAGAATGATATGTTTACACGTTTGCCCTGTAAAAGAATTTATTTTCAAACATACCTAAGTGAATTTTCATACTACTAATCTGAAAATTTCTCTACCAAATAAAAATGTTATTAAAATTAGCACCTATGAGCAAATGTAAATTTGGTTCACTGTAACTTCTGCTGCTTTTTCTCTTCCATTTCACTTTTTTATAGGGTAAGGGGGGAAAATTCAAGTTATTCCATTGTGAAGTATTTTTATCCAAAAAAGATCAATTTTTAGGCTGGAATAGGAATTGGAAAGAAATTTCAAATGGAAGGTTTTTTTCCCCCAGTAACAGCAGCCTCTGCTGATAATATAAATGAAATCCTCTGGTATCCTGGCACTACACCAGGACAGGCACTTTCCATCAGGGTTTCTCAACTCTGGCTCTACTGACACTTAGGCCCAGACAACTCACTATGGCAGAGGACTGTCCTGGGCATTTCGCGTTAGCTAGCCCATTCCTGCTTCAACCTACTGGAAGCAGAATGCTCCTGCTACCACTCTGAGCCCTGACAACCAGTGTCTCCAGACAGTATTAAATTACTAGGGAGGACCAAAAAAACACCAGAATTTATAAATAAAAACTTGGGTATTTATTCTTACATGTTTAAACTTCAGTCACCCTAGCTGCTCAAAACAGTTTTGAGCTCTTCCATTTTGATGCCTTCTTGCTTTTTTGTTTCACCTCTTCACATCAGCAAAACATTTCCTTCTGAGAACTTTTCTCATCAGGAAACAGAGAGCAGTTGCTCAGGGTGAGGTCTGGCTGCCATGGAGGACGGGACACAGGGGTCGTGCCGCTTTTGGTCAAAAACTCTGAATGCGGCCGGGCTCGGTGGCTCAGCCTGTCATCCCAGCACTTTGGGAGGCCGAGGTGGGTGGATGGCCTGAGCCCACGGGTTCGAGACCTGCCTGGGCAACTTGGCGAGACCTCGTCTCTACAATAAATCAAAAAATCAGCCGGGCATGGTAGCGTGCGCCTGTAGTTCCAGCTCCTTGGAAGGCTGAGGAGGAAGGATTGCCGGAGCCCAGTAGGCGAGGCTGCGGTGGCCGGGAGCGGCCACTGCACTCCAGTCTGGGCGACAGAGTGAGACTCCAACTCAAAAAAAAACCTCTGAATGCTCAGTGTGGTGTGGGCAGGTGGGCTCGTAAATCACTCATCATGAAATGGGCAAATGCATTAAAAGAATCTCCAAAAAAAATATACTGAAGCTGAACGCAGCCTCTCAAACCAACACTAGCTGGTACACAGATGCCAGTGGGTTCCTAAACACTTACCTAGCAGGGAAGCCTGGACTACAAGGGCCCACCCAAAAGTATCCTCCATGGGACAAAACCTCCCCATGATGAGAACCCCCTTGCCCCGAGGGAGGTACCATAACTAGCTTCACTGATGTACAAGGCTAAAAGATGCAAGCTTTACAGAGAACATAGTGCTTGCTTCAAGTAAAGTGAGTGACTGCGCATAAACATTTCTCGTCTCATTCAGCAGGTCTAGATCTTTTGGCTATATGTTTTGAGTAACATTTTCATGCCCTTAGTTCATCTTTGAGGTCTGAAAAAGCTATTTGAGAAAAAGTTAAGGAACTTAGAAGGACAGAATAAAACAGTTTAAAAGTTTTGCATTCCGATATATTATAAATTTAATTTCTTTTATGGTTTATAAGCTATTCAATAAACTCCACAGGTCTATGTAATAGTTTATACTGAATACAACCTCTGCTACCCTATAGCCTATAATAGTGTTTGTCTGCCTTTTGAACCCATTGCAATAAATTTGCTGAAATATCAACACATTAAAACAGATTGTGCAATATCAAAACAAATAATCAATCCACTATTATACTGCAACACACAAAATTCACTAGGAACCACTCTAGGATTAATAGTGAAACATTTCTAAGCACTACATTACTACATATTAAATAAGCTGAGGGTGGTGGATCACGCCTGTAATCCCAGCAGCTTGCAAGGCCGAGGTGGGAGAACTGCCTGAGCCCAGGAGCCCAAGACCAGCCTAGACAACACAGCAAGACCCAAATAAATAATCACAAAAGAAGGCAGCAGTCGTGACCTTAGTATCAGACAAAACAACCTTAAAAGAGATAAGGAAGGACACTACATAATGATAAAAGGTTTGATCCATCAACAAGCAATACCCATCCTAAATATACACGCATCCAACACAGGAGCACCAGGGTTTATAAAGCAACCACTAAGCCAACTGATATACTGACTCTAACACTATCATAGCTGGAGATTTAAATACCCTGTTAACAACCCTAGATAGATCATCAAGGCAAAAAACCAACAAAGAGAACCGGAACCATAACTTGACACTTGACCAGATGGATTTAGTAGATGCCTACAGAATACTCCACCCAACAACCATAGAATATACATTCTACTCATCACCACATGGAACGTACTCCAAGATCGACCACATCCTCGGCCATAAATCAAGCATAAAAAAATTTCACGAAGTGCGTGGCAGCTCAGGCCTATAATTCCAGCACTTTGGGAGGCCATGATGAGAGGATTGCCTGAGCCCGCGGGTTCAAGACCAGCCTGGGCAACTTGGCGAGACCTCATGTCTACACTAAGTCAAAAAATTAGCCAGGCATGGTGGCACGTACCTGTAGTTCCAGTTACTTGGAAGGATGAGGTGGAAAGATTGCTGAGCACAGCAGGTTGAGGATGTGGTGGTCGGGAGTGTGCTACTGCCTTCCAGCCTGGTGACAGAGTGAGACCCCAACTCAAAAAAAATTTTTTTCACAAGATTAAAATACTGCCAAGCACCTTCTCAGACCACAGTGGAATAAAAATAAATAACACTACCAACAAAACTCCACCAAAACCCATAAAGACACGGACACTAAACAGCATGATGCTGAACAAATCCTGGGTCAACACAGAAATTAAAAGATTCCTTTAGCCAGAACTGGTGGTTCACACCTGTAATCCCAGCACTTTGCGAGGCAGAGGTGAAAGGAATGGCTTAGCCCATGGGTTTGAGACCAGCCTGGACATCATGGCAAAACTTCATCTCTACAATAAATCAAAAAATTAGCTGGGCATGGTGGCGCGTGCCTATAGTTCCAGCTACTTGGAAGGCTGAGGTGGAAGGATCGCCTGAGCCCAGCAGGTTGAGGCTGCAGTGGCCGTGAGCATGCCACAGAGTGAGACTCCGATTCAAAGAAGAAAAAAAAAAAAGATCCCAGGAAATGAATAAAAATGAAGAAACAAGCCGGGCTCGGTGGCTCAGCCTGTAATCCCGCGCCTTTGGGAGGCTGAGGTGAGTGGATTGCCTGAGCCCGCCGGTTCGAGACCCGCCTGGGCAGCGAGACCTCATCTCTACAATAAATCAAAAAATCAGCTGGGCATGGTAGTGTATGCCTGTAATTCTGGCTACTTGGAAGGCTGAGGTGGAAGGATCGCCGGAGCCCAGCAGGTCGAGGCTGCGGTGGCCGGAAGCGGCCACTGCACTCCAGTCTGGGTGACAGAGTGAGACTCCAACTCAAAAAAAAAAAAAAAACAAAAAACAAACAAAAAAAAAAAAAAAATGAAGAAACATCTTACCAAAACCTCTGGGACTTGCCGAGCTCGGTGGCTCAGTCTGTAATCCCACCACTTTGGGAGGACCAGGCGAATGGATTACCTGAGCCCACGGGTTCGAGACCAGCCTAGG